ATATATATATATATACATTTTCTTTATCCATTCATCCATTGATGGACATTTGGGCTCTTTCCATACTTTGGCTATTGTTGATAGTGCTGCTATAAACATAGGGGTGCATGTGTCCCTTCAAAACAGCACACCTGTATCCCGTGGATAAATGCCTAGTAGTGCAATTGCTGGGTCGTAGGGTAGGTCTATTTTGAGTGTTTTGAGGAAACTCCATACTGTTTTCCAGAGTGGCTGCACCAGCTTGCATTCCCATTTTTGGTTCCATTCTGAATTTCTGATCAAGGGGCCAGACTAAGAGAAAAGCTTTGGGGCTGAAAGGGAAATTTTAAACTGCTAGAATTAAAGAAAGTTGAGTTACCTCAATAGAATTTAGGAGTTGGAAAACGGCATTGAAATATAGGAAGTCAACATTTAAAGAGCAACTCATAAATATGTTAGAAATTAACTCCTATATTACATATAGCTTGAACAAAGACTAACAAATAAACCAGCTATGCCAATGAATGAAATTAAGAAAGCTCTCTGCTCCTCCCCACTTGACAGATGGCCACATTTCCTGGTACAGTGCCAGCTGCATCCCCCAGATATGGTGGTGATAGTTAGAGTAAACATATGTGGCCCTACCCTATTGTGCACCTGGTCACCAGGGCTGCTTTTAACTATGGCAAAGTGGATACTGTCAACATCAATGCCCCTTCATTGACCTCAACTACATGGTCTACATGTTTCACTATGATTCCACCCATGGCAAATTTCATGGCGCAATCAAGGCTGAGAATGGGAAACTTGTCATCAGTGGAAAGCCCATCACCATCTTCTTTTTTAAAAAAATCTTAATGTTTATTTTATTTTTGAGAGATAGAGGGAGAGAGAGAGACAGAGCATGAGTGGGAGAGGGGCAGAGAGAGAGAGAGAGAGAGAGAGAGGGAAACATAAAATCCAAAGCAGGCTCCAGGCTCTGAGCTATCAGCGCAGAGCCTGATGTGGGGCTCAAACCCACAAACTGTGAGATCAAGTCCTGAGCTCAAGTTGGACATTTAACTGACTGAGCCACCCAGGCATCCGCAATCTCCATCATCTAGAAGCAAGATCCCGCCAACATCAAATAGGGTGATGTTGGTGCTAAGTATGTTGTGGAGTCCACTGGGGTCTTCACCACCCTGGAGAAGGCTGGGGCTCACTTAAAGGGTGGGGTGAAGACGGTCATCATCTCTGCCCCTTCTCCTGATGACCCCATGTTTGTGATGGGCATGAACCATGAGAAAATCGACAATTCCCTCAAGATTGTCAGCAATGCCTCCTCCACCACAAATCACTTGGCCTTTCTGGCCAAGGTCATCCATGACGACTTTAGGCATTGTGGAGGGACTTATGATCATAGTCCATGCCATCACTGCCCTTTGGAAGACCACGGACAGCCCCTCTGGGAAGCTGTGGTGTGATGGCCGTGGGCTGCCCAGAACATCATCCCTACTTCTACTGGTGCCACCAAGGCTGTAGGCAATGTCATCCCAGCTGAGTGAAAGCTCACTGGCATGGCCTTCTGTGTCCCTACCCATAATGCATCAGTTGTGGATCTGACCTGCCACCTGGAGAAAGCTGCCAAATATGACAATATCAAGTAGGTGGTGAAGCAGGTATTGGAGGGTCCCCTCAAGGGCATTCAGGGCTACACTGAGGACCAGGTTGTCTCCTGCAACTTTAACAGTGACACCCACTCTTCCATCTTCGATGCTGGGGCTGGCATTGCTCTTAGTGACGAATTTGTCAAGCTCATTTCCTGGTATGACAATGAATTTGGCTACACCAACTGGGTGGCAGACCTTAGGGTCCACATGGCCTCCAAGGAGTAAGAGCCTCCTGGACCACCAGTCCCAGCGAGAGCAAGAGGAAGGACTGTTGGGGAGTCATTGCCCCAATGCATCCCTTAACACACTGAGAATCATTTGACCTCCACAGTTTCTATCCTAGACCTCCTGAAGAAGGGGAGGGACTTGGGGAACCCTACCTTGTCATTGCCATCAATAACATATACTATACCCAGCCAAAAAAGGAAAAAGAAATTAAGAAATCGGTGGATTGATAAAACTCTCTGTCTCCCCAATAGCCTTAACCTCTCTTTCAATCTATCCCTTATATAGCAATCAGAGTGGTCCTTCTAAACCAATCTCATCATATCATGTAGTCCGAACACTTCAATATGGCTTGTGAGCTAGCTTACCCTTCTAGCCTCTTTCTCTTGCCCTCCCTCTACCCCCAAGCATTTTGCTCCAGGCAAAATGAACTTTTTTTCACTTCCTGAAATAAGTCATCTTCTACACTTATTCCTTCCTTACAACTCCTTTTCCTTATCTTCCTCTTCCAGACCTTCCTTTCCTTAATACTCTCTTTTAGCCATCCATCCCAAATACCTCTCACTCAGCTTGAATAGCTTTCTTTGAGGAAGGCTTTCTTGAGTTCCCCAGACCAGACGAGGTGTCTCTGCTATGCACTATCACAGCATCCTAAGCCTCCCTTTGTATAACACTTATCATCAAGTCTATGTACAAGGATATTTGTTACATCATTATTTGTAACAGCAAAAATATCTAAAAAGCATTTCACATAAATTATAATATATCTGTGTTACAGAATGCCACACAACTGTTTAAAATAATATTATGGAACTAAAAATCGATAACAGAAAGATAGCTGGAAAATCCTCAAATATTTGGAGATCAAACAACATACTTATAAATAATACATGTCAAAGAAGTCTTGAGAGAAGTTTTAAAAATATTATGAATTATATATATTTTACATGAAAATGAAAATACAACTTACAAAATTTGTGAGAGGAAACAAAAGCTGTGCATAGAGGGAAACTTAACAGCATTAAATGCAAATATTATAAAAGAAAAGATCAAAAATCAATAATTTAAACTTCCATGTTAGGAAACTAGAGAAAGAAGATCAATATAATCCTGAAGAAAGCAGAAGAAAAGAAGTAACAAAAATCAGAGCAGAAAGTAGTGAAATTGAACACAGGAAAACAATAGAGAAATATAATGAAACTGGTTCTTTGAAAAGATCAATGAAATTGACAAACCGCTAGCCAGGCTAATCAAGAAACAAAGAAGGCACAATTTACTAATGT